TTGCATTGTGAAAGAAAAGGTGTGGAAAGGATCAGAAACAGTTGATCATGTAGCATGTAAGTATTGGTGTGCACTGCAAGGTTCTGGAGTCATCAAAATCATAATAAATTTGACCGAGTCTTGGTAAAGTAACAAGCACTCACGTAGAAAGCTATATATGGGACAACACACATGGTGTCGGGGCTAGTACTACCTCGATTTCCTTGTCTTTCTATGCTCATTACTCAGCCAGTATACATTTTCTTCCAAAATTGTTTGGCACATGTCATTTATTTGTAATCTTGAACATTCAGTGTAAGTTTCGTTTGATTCTGTGAGACTTATTTTTTTTTTTTTACCAGTACTGGAGTTTAGCTTTAAGCCCAATTCACTATCACCCTACTTCTTGGATTTTACAATATGGTGATAAGCCTAATGTAAGCAGCTGCGCACATCGATCAAGTTAGCTGATTTTAGCAACACTCCTTGCGCACGCCTTCTTTTTTACACTTATCGCTTTGGCAATCCAATTTGCAAGGTTTGCCATGTACATTTATGAGTGATTACATACACATTTGAGGTTTTGTCACATCACTCTTCAGGCTTCATGCAGGCAAATGGGTGACAAATTAGGCTTCGTGATATCAAAATCATATTATCACCAAGCCTTTAAGACTAAGATTACATGTACCGGTAGACTGAAAGCTTCAGTCTTGAGTCTGAAATCAACAGAGACTGAACTGCGTCATACGGGTAAGTGAGGGGAGATTACGCAATTCAGTTTGTGTGTGATTGCTTATTTCATCGCGCACATTAGCTTTAAGAAAACAGACAGATAAGCTTAAGGTAGTGATTTTTTTTATGTTATTCTTTCATAGTTTATAATTATATGGAAATCTAATCTATTTTTATTTCCGATCACCATTTTTTCTAAAAGAAACTGTTAAGTTTAGGTAAAGAAAAACCAAGGGCAAACCTCTCGCTGGATTCTACTGAAAATCATTGGTTAATTTTAAGTTTGTATTTTAATTTTGCTACATGGTCTATAAATCTGAGCCCCATGTGTATCTCACATACACACATCAAATTGAGGTGACAGCGACTGTTCATGAGGCATGAGATGTCTCTTGTGATATCTTACATGCTAAGAAATGCATAATTTTCCAACACTGTTGAGACAGGGAAGCATGATTACAATTGAACTTGAATAGAGTTTGATTAAGGAGGTTAGTGTAAACGCAGCCTATCATGCCTGGATCATGGTCCCTGGACTTGCCCCTGGACTTGGCCCTGGTTCCTGAGCTCCCTCGTTGATCAACAGGGAACCATTTTGATAACAATATCTTCCATCAAATCACTCCTAGCACACCGTCATTGCCTCTAGATTCTTAAGCTGGACCAAGTCAAACCATCAAAGACTTTATCTCTCAGTTTCCAAGGTCCATTTAGAAATTCAGTGTTTGTGGTGTGATAATTATACACATTTGTACTTAGCAAAGATGGCCTCTGTGTTTGGACTATGATTCTGTAGAGCATGTGATATGGCAGTGGTGCAGCTTTTGCTTTTTAAAATGAAGATTCGCACACAGCACATGATTTTATCTCTAGCGGTTTTATATATATGGATCATTGGATGGATAGAAGTTATAAATACCTTGAAATTTCATAGGATGTGCTGAATACTACTGTCTTATTTAAGGTCAGGGTATTATGGAAAACCTGATGATGGTTAAATTTGCTGGACAGTTGGAGTCTTTATTGTACCATCAAGGTCTACTGTGCCTGGAAGTGGAGTTGAGAGGTGTTTGAAGTCATCTACATGTAGCTCACAGTGTGAACAGATACATGTACTTGATAGACACATCGGTCTGTGTGATCTTCATTTTGGACAGATATTGGTGTTTTTTTAATGGTATAAAAAGAGTCTTTCTGATGAAAAGAGACTAGTCATCTTCTCTATATTGAATCATACTGCTCCTTCTAAAGATTGTGATTACTTCAATTGCCATCTAGAGCAGGGTACTTTTCGTCGTCTTTGATTAGAACTTCTGTTTGATTCAGTCCATGTTACAAGTCATGGATGCATGGTGAAGTACAGGAGATGAGGATTCTGTCAATGCTTTACTGAGTGCATTGTGTAGTGAGCTGGCAAAATGGATACAGACATCATGTGCCTTAGGAGGCAGTACATTATGTATCGTAATATAGTAAACATTGGTTGTCTGATCAGGGAGCTAAAGATTGCTAAACCTTGTCATTACAAGCAGAGGGTGAGTCCATTCATCTTCAGGGTCATGAATGGGACATACATTGGGCTTTTTTCTGCAGATGGAATGACTGACATACTGTAGCTTTTAAGGCTGTGCACAACAGTGTAATGAGGTACCCGAGTACACTCCCAGGCTTACAAGCGAATACTCAAATATTCGGATGCAATGTTTTTTAATAATTTTTTGTTTTTTTTTGTTGTTGTTTTTGATTTGCCACCACCATACCACTGGAACAGTATCCCATGTCCGTCGCCGAAAACGCATGCTATTTACTTTGAGTTGCAGTTGAAGGTGCCGATTTAATAATAATAATAATAACAGTAAACAATGCTGTTTTAAAAACCAAAGATGGCAGAATAATCCATTTTCCTCCAAGTCCAAACGGAAATCCGGACATTTGGTCCCAGTTTCTGAGTGGTGAGTTTGACAGTGCTTGAGTTGGGAAACATTTTTACTGACGGTACCATGCCAGCGGCCGCCGCTCTTCCTAGCGCAGGTAAGCGTCGGCCTGGACAGTTTTTTTTTGTTTGCGGCCGAATATTCGAGTACGAGAAATCGTACTCGAGTAGTTGTCAACAGTGCGGGTACTCGAGCATTCGACTACTCGTCGCAGCCCTAGTAGCTTTTGCCTCCAAATTGCCCTATCGCCTACATTTTCCCTAAGGCTATTAGTGCTGAAAGTTTGTTGGAAACTTGAAAAGAACCCTCAGATCAGAAAAGATAAGTTATTTAGACAATCATTCAGGGTGCTACCAAGCAGTTTCTTATTGTATGTTAACACCATGTTGATTACTTTTAAAAACACTTCTGTAGATATTTATGATCTATCATCTTACATTCCTACACACATGTAGAGTGGAAAAACCTCATTGGAGCAATTCACATGAGCTGCATTTCTTTTGAAATTGAAGAATTGAAACAGAAATATATGAAATGTCAGCAAATCCTATTTATAATGTGGTCCCTCAGCTATCAAATTAAACTATTTCTGGTTTCTATTCCTCTTGGTCTTATGTTGTTTTTGTGTTTTGTTTGAAACCTCTTTTCAAATTATATTGAATACTCCTTGGCAGAATGAATTATGTCACACATCCATATTCTAGCAAGAGTGAGAAACATGTGTGACCTATTTTAGGATATGTAGAATGTGAGTTCATCTGTGCAATCTTCTTGTTCTTTTTTTGGGTGTTATATGAATATAATGTACATGACATGTAATGACATTTTGTAATGTGATGTTTAATACCATACATATTCACTTACTCTGTTTTTGAATATATTTTAGTATTATTCTTTGAACCATACAATATGCTTTTTAAAGTAAACTTGTACTAGTTGTGCCATGTTGATTGCTGAACTCTCAAAGAATTACTCTCCATTTGTTCTCCCTTCTCTCTCTCTCTCTTCCTGCATCGTATCATCTGCTGATCTCCAACGTTGACTGGGCCTTCTTGCCACTGGTCTGGTAAATCATACCTGTAACTCCATGGTAACCTGGTGTCTGGGGCTCGCTCTAATGGTTTCCTGCCATCGATGATCACCCTGGTGTTCAACGACCACCCTGGATCTGTTCCTGTCACTACTTATGCTAACTGCTGGATAACTTGTGTGAATGCTTGTGAAATGGTTATCCATGCACCTTTGACAAAAACATTCTTTTGGGTCATTGATATAAAATCATTATTAATGCTGGGATATGCTTCCCTTTGATAACCCTTGACCTTTGACCTACATCATATATATACTGGTTGATCAAATTGATGTTACTATCTGGATGACCTCCTGTGGACCCTGTCACGCACACGCTTGTTTGGAATAAATGTGCTGGTTCATAATTTAATGGATTATCCCTCTTGTGTTGGAACTGTGAAATTTGATTCTGATTGGCACCTGGATTGGGAAACTGGTGATACTGACTTATTTGTGTTTTAAAAACAAAATTGTTTTCATTCTGAAAACAAATACAAACTTGGGTGCCTGGATTTTCTTAAACAATGGCCTTAACTTGGGCCAAACTTTGTTGTCTCCGGCAACGTATCCTGCCTTCTGCACTGCGCTGTTTTTCTGTGTCCCCTGGATTACATTGTAATTCATCTGATGAACAGGTTTGTCAATGTCATGTTGTCAAAATCAAGTGTGACATAAAATGTAACGGTACCTATATATTGTCAATAGGAGAATAGGAGACCGAGTGAACAGATTAATATTTATAACAAGTTCATAATGTTGGTTTAAGATTTTCATCTGTTCATAACATTCAACATTTAAGATATACTGGAGTTTTGAGCAGAAAATATCTGGAAAGCTACAAAAGTACTCCCATAAAAAAGAAATGAACTTCATGAAAATCATTCTCTGAATAGGAGTTTCTGTGAGCAAAGCCTACCTCCTTGATATATGTACATTCATTGTATTGTTATTGAAGCAATAAAACTGAAAGTGTTAGTCTCCAAACTCCAAAGTTATTTGTTTCCAATTTAAATAAGACTAGCATGTATGTTTTATGATTGAACCGGGTACAGTGTATATAATTGCAAGTTATAGGATGTAATATTTGATAATGAATAACGGGAGTATATCCACACAAAAAAATGAAGTTGATACCACCAGGACAGACAGAAGAAAGGCCTGTGAGAATGAAAATCATTATAGATGATGTCCAATACTGTCCATTCTCAAAGAGAATTGTTTTATTACTAGTGATATCCAATTTCTTCATCTTTTTGTTTTATTCTCTCCTTCTTATTCTAGATCAAAGAAGAGGTTGACAAACTTTTGGCTCTAAAGGCACAGCTTGGAGATGGACCAACTCAGAAATATGTGCTCAAAACAGCCAAGGTATGATATGAAGTGTCTAAAAGATAGTCACCAGTTATTCGTAGAGGTGTCATGGTCTAGTGGATCTAGTCTCCGAACTGTGAATCACAAGGTACATGGTTCGAATCTCTGCCGCAGCACTAATGTCCTTTGGCAAGACATTAATCTACATTTGCCACACTCAGCCCATGTGTAGAAAGTGTATGAGATGATTCTGCCAATTAATTACAGAAGTTACAGGGTCATAGATGAAGAGATCATTCAGCATACAATGTGACCTTTGTTTATAAACTTGTTTACCATGCCTATCATTTTGTTAGCACAGCTCATTTTGTTGTGCATGTGTTTTTATTTTGACAAAATGTAGATTCACAACATGGGGGGCATGTTTAGAATCATGGTCACATGGTCTTATGACTTCCCATAGTATAGGGAGGTTAAGCATACAGGTTTACATTGAATTTGGGTCTCTTGCTATTAAACATTCTTTTTATCTATAAGATTGCTGCATATGTTTTTGCTGACTTGGGAAGTGTCTTGCTGATTTGAACGGTTTTGAAAGTATTCTAATGAGATTTTGCACAGTGTTGAACAAGGAAATATGTCCAATTTCAAACTCTAGGCCCAAATTCACAAAGGAGGATTGTTGACAAACCTAGGATTATGTGCGTCATATGACGCATTTTGCCGTGTTTCAGACCAATGTTTGTCTGAACCTTGGTCTGAAACGCATCGAAACTCGTCATATGACGCACATTAACCTAGGTTTGTCAACAAACCTACTTTCGTGAATTTGGGCTTATGATTGTGAGCAAAAGAAGTGTATTAGGAGGGAAAATGTCCTCCTTTGATTCTGGTTGACTGTAAACGAGTATATAGTGTGTCAACGGTCTGCTGCAAGTCATTATCAGTCAATGACATATCTACATGATGACCTGCCACTCACCCATTCACTTTGGACCAATGCCAGTTTGGTCATGACTGTATTCAGCAAATTTACCAGAATGATACAAGCTTGTTTTACCGTCCTGAAAAAGTTAGAGAACTAGTGGACTCCGCCTTTCCTGTATATTCAAGGACAATTAACAATGCAAATAAGCACTGATGGTATGGGAACAAATAGGGGATTAGGGGATAGTGACACCAATGTCAAGTATAGAATAGGTCTAGTAAGCTACAGTACAAGGGGGTCTTCAAATCTCAAAGATATTTGTAAATTGTAAGTAACATAATCCCCTTCATCAGAAGAGAGCACATTTCTACAGAAAAATTATAGTAGAGCTTGATTGAACAAGAATGTAATTGTAAATGTACATTGATTGACATGACAAGCACTTGGAACTTTTTAAAGATGGCCTTTTTTTAAAAATCTGCCTAGGATGTTGCACCTTGGCTAGACGACAAAATTCATAAATTCCAATGGATTACTGCTTTGTGAATATTGGTATTTTTCAACTTGCATATTTTGTTCAGCTTAACCTGAATTGGTCAGTATTACAGGGTATTTATATAGTCTAGTAGGATCCAGAGTCCCACACCCCCCCCCCCCCCCCCACCTGCCACACTCCCTGTTTTGCTGGCGCCACAATATCCCTTGATTGATATGACACAGGCTATGCCACTATACTTGATTCAAAGGTAACAAGGTATAAGAGGAAAATTCCATGTAATACTCCACTATCTGTTTGTGCATTGCTATTGGACATACGTGTACATGTAAGTGATGATACACTGCAGAGTTGACAATTTGACTACTTAAAACAGGTAGGAAGTGATTCGAGAGTAGATTTTGTTTGTTTTTTACTTAATAATCACCATCTTTGAAAAATGCAGCTGTACTAGCATTGCTCTAATATCCATCTACTATATTTTAAAATGAGTCAGACTTTCATATCTTTTTCTTCTGTTTATGTGAAACCAGGGCACAAGGGATTACACCCCCAGACAGATGGCCATCAGGGAGGGTGTTTTCAAGGTGATCATTGACACCTTCAAGCGTCATGGAGCTGAGACCATTGATACACCAGTCTTTGAACTAAAGGAGACCCTGACAGGGAAGTATGGAGAGGACTCCAAGCTCATCTATGATCTCAAAGACCAAGGAGGGGAATTACTTTCACTCAGATATGATCTCACTGTATCCTTTTATAATGTCTTCTTGAATCATTTTAATCCATTGACTGATGAATTCTTTTGATTTCCCAAGCTAGATATAATATGTATCCCAGAGTGTTTTAATCAAGAATTGTGATTAGAAAGATACCTAAATTTAGAAAATCTGGGAGAAAACAAAGGCAACTTTTTGTTTCGTAACAGAATTAATTGAATTGCAGTTTAGAGTAAGGCACACAAAAAAATCCTTTAGTGGTATAGGAATCAATGACAAATTAGACATTACTTATACTTTGGTTTAGTGTTGAATTTTAAATTCCAATGTAATTACGTTTTCAATTTCATACTTCAAAACACTTTCTTTAGTGCTCGGTCATATGGTAGGCCATTACTACTACTACTAATAATAATAGGCATTTCTATAGTGCCATCTGTCTGGATAATTCTATTCTGAGGCACATTTATTATTACCCCGGCTTTAGCCTAGCAGCCGTTTAAACAGCGCTCCAGCATTTCAAGGAATTCATTCCTGACAGGTACCCATTTACATCACCTGGGTTGAGTGTGGCAAATGTAGATCAATGTCTTGCCAAAGGACATTAGTGCCTCGGCGGGACTCGAACCGCGACCCTGCGATCGACAGTCCGGTGACGTATCCACTCGACCACGACACCTCTACCTATACAGATAGACATTATGTATTATTTGTAGAATCAATTATGACTTTTTTCAATCCTTAACTTGATTGTTCAGGTTCCCTTTGCCCGTTATGTAGCGATGAATAAGATTGCCAAGATCAAGAGATACCACATAGCCAAGGTTTATAGGAGAGATAACCCTGCTATGACCAGAGGAAGATATAGAGAATTCTATCAATGTGTTAGTATCAATCATCATTTATCTTTCTCTACCCCTGTCTCTCTCCATATTTCTCTTTTTTTGTGTATGTGCTTCAGAGCTGTCAACCATTACGATTTTATTGTATTATGTACGATTTTTAGAAGAAAATACAATTTTCAAAAACAACAACAATTTACGAAAAATTTGAATGTGCTTGTGTGTTTGTGCCATTCTCTATGGCAAATTTCCTGTTTTCTCCTGTACCCTACAAGCATTTCACATCAGCAATTTGGGGGTGTTCCTTGGTTCATTGAATACTCTAGTCATGACAAAATCATGCATATTCAACAAATGGTCCATAAAAATACATTAATATGCCATTCATTGAACGATCATTCATGACAAACTCTTGCATATTCAACAAAATGTTTGTAAAATGTACTCATGCATAATTCTTCAAAATGTTGACGAACACAGTCTAACAAAAAGGAAGTACTTATCGACCAAAAATAGCATTTTTTGGGGGGTAGAAAAAAATAGGATTTTTGTTCAGTTAAGGTTCGAAGCTGTGAGTGCTTATATATATATATATTAACATTGTTGAATTTTTTAAAGAATAATCTTTCAATTTGAACCATCTTGTATTGTCAATGTGTGAACCTCTGCCTGAAAAGTTTAATCATTTAGATATTCCACAAGCACTTCAAAGCACAAATTTACCCAATATAGATGATGTGGTGACCATATTCTGGTTTTCCGTTTGGGGTATAATGTTGATATATCCAGAATTGATTGATTACAGTCTGTATTCTTGATATTATTGCGTTGCAGGATTTTGACATTGCTGGTCAGTATGATGCAATGATACCTGATGCTGAGTGTGTCAAGATCGTCCATGAGATCCTGTCAAACCTCAAACTAGGAGACTTTGTTATCAAGGTATGTGTGCTGAGATGTCATGGTTCAGAAGGTTCCATGATTGCAGAGATGCCAACCGTTACGGTTTCGCCGTATTTGTTACGGTTTTAATGCTCTTGTTACGGCGTTACGGTAAACAATCAAAAGGTTACGGGAAACGATAAATAAAAGTACATTATAGCGAATGCCGCCTTATCACATAGTCTCCGTACACAGCGCTGCATGTTGCACGCAATTACTCATAAGTTCACTGAATTTGACTACACTGGATAGGCATTTTTCACGCACATGGTCCGTCCGCCGCCATCTTGTTTAATTCCGAAACAACACAGCCGCCATCATTACTGTTTTGATTCTAGTATACGTGCGGTCGTGCATTTTGGGGGGAGCATGGTGGTGGATGATCGTGCACACAGCGCCCGCCTGCAATACCCATTCAAAGTATAGTAGCGAAGACTTCGGTGATTCAGCGGGCGCATTGCAAGTGCTGTATACGGTGTGTTGTTGTTCATGAACGCCGGGCCTAGCGGCCTGGGCTGGTGTGTCTGTGGTAGTGGTGAGTGTACGTGTGCGTGTGTAGGATACGAGTTCTGCCATTTGACTGTGGATTTGAATTTGCTGTTCGATGCTTGAACGAGGTGTTTTCTTCCTGAATATTATCATGGATTCACTCAAAAGAGCAAGTACCAAAGGAGGAGATCCTTTGACTGCAAACAGTTATAAAAAAAAAAATTATGCACATCTTTATTTTGGACTTAAAAATGGTAGGTATCGAAATGCAGTAAGAGTGATTGGGTGTTTGTGTACGTTTTCCGCGAAAATTATGCTGCGGTGTCTTGCGTTACGGAAAGACCCCCATTTGTTACGGACAAATGTGGTAAATGTTACTGACAGCCATCCTATAGGGTTGGCATCTCTGTGATTGCACACTGCATTCCATATTAGCTGCAAATATCACAGTAGAAATTCAAGAGATTCAAGATTAAAATGAGGTTTTATTTTCACGACTTGTCAAAAAGTCCAAAGACTAAAAATGCAAGTTTATATCAAACATACAATCATATAAAAAAAGCATTAAAAAACATATATATTTATATATTTTAAGAAAACTTTTATAAAGAAAGATGAAAGCACCTATTGGGTAGACATAGTTAATGTATACAGTTGACTCCAGTTTTAACTGTTTTAAGGGCCTTGATATGATGTTAACCATTCTAAAGTCTCAGAGTGTCTCTTGTTTTGTGGTTGTTTCCCTTTAGGTATAAAAAGGTACGATGCTTTCAAGTGTTCTAGCAAATTCCACTAGATTCTACCCTTTGATGATTTATTTTACATCTCTACTTTTTAGTGAAGTGGCTAATCACACTTATGAAGATAACTCTATTTCTTTGTTTTGGGTGTATGTTGAAGCCAGCTGAACTTTGAAGCTATATTCAGTTATTTGTATTCATTGAATTACATGGACACAAAATTTTAAAAGGGGTTTCTGTATAATTCATGAGAAGATACACCTCATCACCTATCTTTCTTTTCCATGATCTTTCATTTTCGACTTATGCAAAAAATAATATGTGTGTTTTGGTTCTTTTTACAGGTGAATCATAGGCAGATATTAGATGGAATGTTTGAAGCGTGTGGTGTACCAGATGACAAGTTTAGGACAGCATGTTCTGCTGTAGACAAGCTAGACAAAGTAAGAAAGCTCATCAATTTTATATAGCCACTAACTCTCTTGCTTCCTAGAAAATTACTGTTTTCTTGTGCAGGAGTGAGGGGGGGGGGGGGGTTAATAAAATCAATTCCAGAGAAGTGTGCTTTCATCAACAAAAACATCTTTCTCTATTTGATCATGATCTCAATTCTTTAGAGTGGATGCCAATGCCATGTATTGCTCTGTTTGTATTTAACAACCTATCAACAGAATCATTCAGAACAGATAATATCATGTGTGTTGAAAGAAATTTGAAAGAAATTGGTATTGGATTTGTCTAGGTGCGTAAACATTTATTTGTGGGAAAACCACTCTGGACATAAAATCCTTTGAAATCTAGTTCTCTTAACCACCTACTGAACCTATTGGTAGAGCAGTTTCAAATTCTTTTTCTTGTTCTTTGTAAATAGTGTAAATAGTTCACAACCCTATAGGAGTTTTATTTGTCATATATTATATATTTGAAAGGTGTTGTAACGAGTCAAGTTTTATGCTTATGATTCATCACCTTTGTGTGTTCATTCATTAAAATGTAAAATGTGTAATAGTTGCAACTTGTCTTTGATAAAACATTGTTATATTTTTTTTCATGTGAAATCAATTCAAATGGATTGTAAAATTGAAAATGAATTGAAAATTATTTGTTATATTATATTCTTTTTCATGTAATGTTAACTCCAATGAATTGTGAAATTGTGAACATACATAAATAAATAAAATAAATAAATATGATTGCTTTGTTTTGTTACACAGACTTTCTGGGAAGATGTACGAGCTGAGATGGTAGATGAGAAAGGTATTGATCCTGCAGCAGCTGACAGGATAGGTTTCTTTGTCCAACAAAATGGTAAGGTTCTGATCACAATCCTCAATCAGTCTTATTTTCATTATCTCATTTGTAAAATACAGATTTTCAGAATGTGTCGTATCTAAAAAACAAAAAGAATTACACTTTTTCTTTATATTACTGAGTGTTTGTTATTGCTGTACACTTTCTCAAAAGATCATATCAACTTGAATTATTTTTCTTTCACTGGAAATTTTGTTATAGGTAAATCCTATATAGATGCCAGCACTGTTGGAAAAGCTTTAAAATTGAAACAACAACAAATATATACAGTTCATGCATTTCATCTTGGGACGATTAGCCAAGAAAATGTTAATCAATTTTTTAAATACATCTTAGCAAAAATTGTAGATTTTTTGCTTGTTTTTTGTTGAGGGTGTAGGTCTTCTGCCTTTTTTGTGTGTTTTCAATCTCTTTTTTTTACTTCATAATTTGTTGTTGATATAAAGGTGGTCCAGAGCTGGTAGATAAGCTTCTTACTGAGTCATCACTCAAGGATAATAAGGCTGCTAAACAAGGTCTGGAAGCTATGAGACTACTCCTACAGTATTGTGAGATCTTGGGTGTGCTAGACAAGGTATATTGAAATAGAATTAAAATTGAATCAAAACAGTCACCCTGGCATTTAACTGTGGTAAAAAGCAAAATGGTTTATGATTTAGCAAACAAATTAACAAAAACTTGTTAGGAAATGTGATATGCTTTAGTAAATGTTATTTTCTGTAGGGAAAACAAATGCCATTCATGGAGCACCTTCATTTTATTTTGATTGATTAATGATATAAATGGTGGCTTCTTATAATGCACACATGTCTCTCATACACTATTATCCCTGTTAAAGCCGAGCAGCCAAATACTTAGCGCTCCAACACATCTGATACCCATTTGCACCGGGATGAAGAGTGGCAAATACTGGGCCTGGATTTGACCCTTCAACCCTTAGATTAAGAGTCGATTGAATGAACCACTATCCCCCTGTCCACACACAACATTTTCTGTCATTAGGCGTGATTAGCTATACCGTTTCGCGATAGTGATACCATTTCGCGATAGTTTTACGATGAAATTGTGTGTGTGGACGCTCACTTAACGATACGTCGTATAACGAAACTAGTCTAACAAAATGCAGGTTTGGGCATCGTTTCGAACTAGAACTCAATAAAGAATCACGCCTAATCACGCCTAATCACGTAAGGTGTTGTTTGTGGACGTAACTAGTGTAACTAACCGGGCGGGGCTTAACGTGACCTCGAGCGAAAGGAGACCAGACCTCTCATTTCCGCTTCCATTTCATGACCGCAGTAGCAAACTGCGCACCTATACAACATTTCGCTGTAGAGTTTCAGGATTATTTTCTTCTGTGTGTGGACATCCTGGAATTTATACAATGATTATTTATACAACGTTTCTTGTGTGTGGACACTCCGAAATTCATACGATGATTCTTTGTACGACGTTTCGTTATAGAGTTTCGGGTTAAATTGTTTTGTGTGTGGACACGCTGTATATCACAACATCACCATGTCCTTTCTGTTTAGGATGCACATGGTATGACCTTGCATGACACGTGCCAACTTTAAACTGCTTTATTTGTACTTGGCAAATGAGTTTATAGCACCCTGTATCAAGCTATCTTTCCTATCTTGTTCAGGTATCATTTGACATGAGCTTAGCCAGGGGGCTAGACTACTACACAGGAGTAATATATGAAGCTGTGCTCAAGGAGCAGAGTGCTTGCCTACCAAGTCAGGGGAGCAGGTGGGCGTCGGCTCCGTCGCTGGAGGCGGTCGCTATGACAACCTTGTAGGCATGTTTGATGCCAAGAACAAGAAGGTATGTAAGAAGGACTAGATTTATTCAAATTGTTTTCAAGGTCACACAATTTTATACTTATCATCACAATGTAATGTTCAAGGTTTTATTCTTAGGATTGGCAGATGAAGCTTCTAATTCTTGATAATTCTTATCACATGTAACGCAAGCTGTTTATCAATCTTTTCTTGTCATATAACTTCATTTGGAGACCTTTTTTTCTCCAACACATCATCTGCTTATTTTATATTTTAAGGATTATTCATCGTTATTTGATTATGGTTCTCATTCGCAATTATTATTGTCATAGGGCCTTATGGCTGATCGTTTGCTTTTCCTATATCATGATATGCCCCTGCATGTATCGATTGCCTTTTAATGTTCGTAATGCCGACAGAGTTTCATTTTATGTTTTTGTTCTTATATATAAATTTCATGTGTCTGTTCTCCTCTCCTTGTTTCAAGTGGTTATTCCATCTCTTCTAATCGTGTTTATTCTTTCAGCGACAGCAATCTTCTTTGTTCTGTACAGTTTATGCATATGTCTTGTTCATTTCTTCTTTCTCCTTGCTGCCTTTGGATGCTCTATTTTTCTCTTCGTTTCCCCATCTCTCCTTGACAGCGCCAAAATTTATCATGCATTTTATTTCCTCATATCGTCAATTATTCATGTTCGGATACTGATTCTGAATTCATGATGGCAGGTTCACCTGATAAGCAGCAATTCCCTTTCCATACGGTGAATGATGATGATTTCTTTTATTTACACAGACCTATTCGACTTGAGGATGAAGCTAACACCCCTGCTAATTCATTTGATAATTCTGTTATAGACAATATCAACTCTTCACTTGAAGAACTAGAATTCGACTTTGATTTTGATGATCCTGCTCAACGTAACGTTTCTAAATATGTAACTGTTAATCAGTTTCGTAATGTAGTGAAAGAATTTCGTAATGATACGTTCTCCTTGCTTCATTTGAATATTAGAAGTTTAAATAGGCACTTCGATGATCTACTTTCTCTTCTTGATAAGCCCTCTCAAAACCCATTATCCCTAATTGGTCTTACTGAAACCTGGTTAACTTGTGATTCCAATCACCCATACTCTATTGATAACTACGATTTTATTCATAAAAATAGGCAAGAAAGACTGGGTGGCGGCGTTGCTTTATATATCCTTAAAAGACTGAATTATACCGTTCTAGATAATCTCTCAACATGCAATAATATTATAGAATCCCTTTTTATTGAAATCGTGATTCCCGGTAATAAGAACATAATAGTCGGTGTGATATATCGACCCCCGAGTTCTAATGCACACGAATTTTTATTGTATTTATCTGACACATTACAAAACGCCAGTTTCAACAATAAAGATTGTTTTTTGATGGGCGACTTTAATATAGACCTGTTAAAGCATTTACATAGCAATGTTTCTCAAGAATTTCTCGAAACAATTTTGTCTGCTTCTTTCTTACCACTTATTTCCAAGCCAACTCGTGTTGCAAATACATCTGCTACTTTAATTGATAATATTTTTTCTAATGTTACTCCACATTTTGATTCTTACATTATTCTTTCGGACATATCTGACCATTACCCCATTGTGACTCACTACACGGTTTCAAAGCCATTTAACAACAATGGTCCTTACCCAAGTAGACGTAAAATAACTGTAGAGAATTTAGCTCGCCTTGGCGCTAATCTCGAAAATACTGATTGGTATAGTGTTTATTCCGAAAATGAAATTAATTGTTCTTATGAAATGTTCTCTAGTATATTAAACAACCAATTAGATACTAACATGCCGAAGCAAAAAGTCAAACATGGTTATAAGAAAACGCCCAAACTCCCTTGGATTTCTAAGTCTATATTGCGATCAATAAATCGGAAGAATAACCTTTATTATAAATATAAAATAAAAGGCACTGAGCAATCAAGGAGAAAATATACATCATATAAAAACATTTTGACTCGGATCATTCGATTAGAAAAGAGAAATTACTTTGTAAATCGTTTGAAACTTTTTAAAAATGATATGCAAAACACTTGGAAGGTAATCAAACAAGCAATGAACCAAGTTAATAATAAATCCGAGGTAAATAAGATCAAATTTGATAATGAGATTGTTGAAGACCCAAAAGACATAGTTAATATTTTTAATACTTATTTTTCTTTAATAGGTGATAATCTTGCTAAAAACATTCCGCCTTCAAACACAAATTTTGTGGAGTTTTTAGGCCCTCACAATCCAAATTCTATTTTCTTTGTTCCAACTAATAGGCAAGAAATTATGAAAATTGTTTCTAGTCTGAAAGATAAGAAAAGTTCAGGGTATGATGGAATCAATAATGTCATACTAAAATCAATTATTCCCTTTATTGCAGATCCATTGGTTCACATCTTTAATATATCACTTTTACATGGTAAATTTCCTAATTCTATGAAAATAGCCAAAATTATTCCGTTATTTAAAAAGGGTGATAAATTGGATGTGGGTAACTACCGCCCGATTTCTTTATTATCTTCATTTTCTAAAGTTTTGGAAAGAATAATCTATATCCGGATGATGTCCTTTTTGAAAATATATGATGTATTTTCAAACTTCCAATTTGGTTTCAGAGAAAAGCACAGCACCGTTCATGCTTTAATGTCTTTTGTTGAGAAGGTTGCCCACGCAATTGATACATCGTCACACACTGTAGGTATATTCCTGGACTTCTCCAAGGCCTTCGACACGATCAATCACGAAATTTTACTTTACAAACTATCTCACTATGGTGTACGTGGAAAGGCCTTGGAGTGGTTCAGGAGTTACCTCTCTAACAGAAAGCAATATGTACACTTAAACGATCATGCATCTGAATTATGCAATATTAGTTGTGGTGTCCCACAAGGTAGTCTGCTAGGCCCGCTTCTCTTTATTCTTTATATAAATGACTTTTGTAAATCGTCTAACTCCCTGTCGTTTATTTTATTTGCAGATGATACTAATTTATTTTTTTCACACAAAAATCCAAACGTCCTTGTTGATAAAATCAATGCCGAGTTATTAAATATATTGCAATGGATACAAGCAAATAAATTGTCACTTAATCTCCAGAAAACAAACTACATGCTATTTAGTAACTCTTTGGATTCATTACCCTCTGACATTATTTTTGACAATACCCCTTTGAAACATGTCCCTTTTACCAAATTCTTGGATTTAACAGTCGATGACAAACTTTCTTGGAAACCACACATTGATAATATTTGTAAAACCATTTCGCGCAATATTGGTGTTATTAATAGACTAAAATTGTACTTACCGCAATCATCATTATTTATGCTGTATTCTTCATTGATCTTGCCATATTTGAATTACGGTCTTCTAGTTTGGGGCAATATACATCATACATTGTTGGAAAGAGTTCTATTACTGCAAAAGAGAGTTATTCGTATTATCTCTAATGCCCCCATACGCTCCCATACGGATCCTCTGTTTTTGAAAATAACATCTTAAAAATTAAGGATTTGTACTTATTTCAGCTCGGTCAATTTTTTTTTTTTTTTTTTTAAATGATATTTTATTTCCTTCCTCACAATTTCACATAACAAGAAATTCACATAACAAGAAATTATCAAGATAAGCAATATAAAACAAAATCTTTGATACAAGACATTTCATAAGTTACATCAATCAATGAACATAGAGAAAAAAAAAAGGAAAAAAAAAAGTCTTGCATGTAACAGTGAATAATCAAAATAACAGTAGAGGAAGGTTTAAAATTACATATTACCATCCTATCACAACACTCTCACACCCCCCCCCTCCCCTCTAGCCCACCCACACCACCTTTCACACACATAAACACACATACAAACACAAACACACACTGCATGCAACCTGTTCCCTCAACTCACACCACACAAACTCTTAACCCCCCCCCCCCCCCTAGCCCACCCATCTCATCATACCCCCTTCACGCCGACACACACACTGCATGCAACCTGTTCCGGTTTGTCCACCTGTACACGAGAGAGAATTAATAATACTACTAATAATAATAATACCCACATCCATTAAAGTAAAAATGCATCGATTTGTTCCCATTTCTGTAAGTGCATCCCCAGTTTCCCCTTTTTGAAGGCTATTTTGTATTCCTCGTCTCTGTAATTTTTAAGCATATGTACTGTTTTCTGTACAGATGGCAAAGTTCCTTCTTTTCTAGAAATAAAAATGATATACTTTACTAAAAATATGATACAATTTATTACAAATATTCTCGCAGTATTGCCGGATATTCCCATAAAAAAGGGTTTCCAATCATCAATGTCAATTTCGATTAAATGTAACTTTTGAATTACCTCCTGCCATAATCTTTTAACTTTAAGACAATCTAAAAATAAATGTTGGTATGTCTCTACTTCTAGTCTACAAAAGGAACAAAAATGGTCTGACTCAAAACCAAATTTAAAGAGCTCTCTTTTCGTATATACAGCCCCTTGTAATTGTTTGTATTGAAACTCTCTATGTTTATTACAAAGCATTGCACATTTCATCCTTGTGAATGTTTCTTTCAACTCCGTCATTCCAAGATCAAATTGACAGTTGCCATCTGTAACATGTAATGTATACTCTTTTTGAAGGTCTTCAATGAAGTAATCATATAACCGCCTGGATTTTATATCACATAGTTTCTGTAAACGTCCAAATATCATCAATTCTATTTCAAAATTTTCAGTGTCCACTTCCATAAAATCACTTTGTATCCAATCGTTTCTAATTGCTGAAAAGATCTTTTGAATTCTAAGCAAGCTTTTAGTTTCAAAACCCAAATTTAAAAAATGTAAGATCGGTTTTAAATGACCTCTGACAATTATATCTGATGCTTGAAGTATACCTTTCTGAAATAGTTCGACATCAAAAAATGTTTTATTGCTGAGACAAATACACTTGTTGCTAAATATAATCGGATTATTCTTATTTTCTCCAAAGTGTCTGCATTTATCTAATTCTTGCCATGCCTTCAACA